ATTTAGTTAAGTGCTTTCTTAGATAATAAACATTTTATAAGATTGAAAATTATGCCGTAACACCCGGGATAAAAACAACGGCTTGATTAAAAATGTGCACAATACAATGTCCAAAACAAAGAAAACACTGACCTTTACGCCACCTCAGATTCTACCACCAGAGTTGTATTATCAGGCAAGATAAAGTAATATTTTCTATTTATCTCTCTCCCTCTCTCTCACCCTCTATATATTTCTGTATATATATATATATATATATATATATGAAGAAATATAGTCTTAAGGTGTGCTATATTTATGGGATAAAGTGCTCAATATTAGAGATAGAGCGTGTGTAAAAATGAACATTGAAGTCAACACTTAGAGGCGACAGGCTGTTTTCATGCTAGACGCAATCGTCAGGCCTGACGCTTGCGTTTATTACATATATATATATATATATATATATATATATATATATATATATATATATATATATATATATATATATATATACCCAAGTATAGGTTTCGTGTATAAGGAATTGCAATAACCAACAAATACTATTCTTAAAAGAGTGCTCAATCCAGAGTAGAGCAAATATAATTATTTATTCTAAAATTATAACATAAATATGTTATAAAGTCACTACAAAAATAGCCATTTTGTTTCAACACTTCTGGTGTAACCCTTTATTCTACAATCAACACCATCACTTGATAAGACAGCAGATGTGTTGAAACAAAACGGCTATTTCTGTAGCAATTTTACAACATATGTTACAATTTTCAAATAAATAATTATATATATATATATATATATATATATATATATATATATATATATATATATATGGGCTGCAAATTTCTTTCGAACATACTTCATTCAATATGGCAGACAAGGAGAATTTTAAGAATTTTATTGAGCTTCTTCTAGTAATTTTTTTTTTAATTTTCACTTTTGGTGTTGGTTTGGAACTCTATGTGTGTACGTTTGTATTTATAACCAAACATATAAGTCTTTTCTCTGTCTGTCTGTCTGTCTCTCTCTCTTTATATATATATATATATATATATATATATATATATATATATATATATATATATATGTGTGTGTGTGTGTGTGTGCATGTATATGTGTATGTGCCAGTGAGTGTTTTTTCATTTATAAACAAACTGATGCATGTATATATATATATACAGAGCGAGGAAGCGATATATATATATATATATATATATATATATATATATATATATATATATATATATATATATAAATCGATAAACGTGCAATCAATTTACAAATTCATGAATTATTCACACAAAAACAAAAGCAAAGGTTAATGATTTAATTGGCGAGAAATCCATCATCGCAAACAATTCAAATAATATACAAAAACCTCCGAATCCGTTATGAATGAAATGATCCTTGTTTCCATAAATTTCTGTCGTATTAGTTTTTATTTTTACTACAAGCTTTCGTCTGTTCCTACAGACATCTTCAGGTATAGAATAGATGTTGTTCTTGTTTTTTCTCTTAGTAATAAGAGGACAACGAAAATATATGTATTGTTGTATCCGAATATGCTATTGAAAATGAGTCATTGTTTTTGCTACTGCTAATTGATTTAAAATATGTTTTTTTTCGCTACACAGTTCTAACCATGTTTCAAAAATGGATGAGTACTATTTTGTCAAAATAAAAATATCTATAAGAACACCGGATTATATATCTTACTGTTCTTTCTTTTTATATTTATATATATATATATATATATATATATATATATATATATATATATATATATACGTGTCTGTGTGGTGACATGTGTTTATTTAAAGACGTGTTGATATATATATATATGTATCCGAAACTTAACGAAACAAATCCAAAACAACTGATTTTATTCTTTTTATCCTACTTATTTTTATTACATCAAATGTTATATTTTTGTGAATACCCGCATTTAAGGTTTAGGAAACGGAACGTCTACTGAAGTACAGTTATCCACTAAAAAGAAATAACACACGCATACATACACACATACACACACATATATATATATATATGAATATTTGTTTTTCTATTCTACCCATATTAAACTTTATCTATTCAACCATTTTTTCTTTGCCTGTATAAGTTATATTCTAATAGTATGTTAGAATTCGTTTAATAACACTTTCAAATTTGAATATTTCTTGGTGGGTGTATGTCCGTGTCTTTGTCGGTGTGTATGTGTATGTATGGTCGCTTGTGTGCGCCTTTCATTGTGTCTGTATGCATATGTATTTTTTTCTTAAAGGGCCGTGGACATATTTCCTTTTCATCGCTTTTTTGCGTGTTTATATATATAAATATGTCTGCGTGTTTGTGTATTATAATCTGATTGTGTGTGTATTGTCTTTTGCAAGATTTCACCTTCCCTAACCCATGTCTTCCATTCAAATGTATCTAAGTTGTAACGGAGTTCAGAGCAACAATAGAGCTTAACGTTTATTCCAACTTAATTTCAATAAAAACAAAAAACAAAAAACATGTATTTTTTCCTCAGTTTCTTCTTTAAATAATTTTATAATTTTAAACTTAATATAGATTAAATTTAAAATTGGTAATTTTTTAATTTTATTGTATAATTTAATATTTATTAGTTAGAATGAATTCTATTTTAATCTAACCCTAACAATAAATCTTACTTATTATAAAACGAAGATTGTGTGTGTGTGTGTCTGTACGTTTATATATTGGATCGGATTTCCTATATTTTTTTCAACTGATTTCAACAAAACTTCACAGGACTGCATAAAATTACCTTGCGGTGGTTCTGACACCGCCAAAAAATTGAAAAAACACAATTGTTTTTGCAGGAAATCAATTTGAAAACACGATAAAACACGATTCTGTCGCCAGAATGAAAGGGGGACAACTCATATCGAGTCATACTTATTATAAAACCCAGGTTGTTTGTGTGTGTTCGTTTATATGTGGGATCGGATTTCCTACATTTTTCAACCGATTTCAACAAAACTTCACTTTTTTTTTTTGGCAGGTAATGTTTCTTATTGTCTTGCACACTTTTCTCTTTATTTTTACATTCAGAATGCTTTAAAAATTCCATTTACAAGACAATTGTTTATAATAAAATTCTATTCAGTCGATAGACTCATAACGATTGAAAACAATGTTTTTGTTTGAGTTTGGGTTTGACTAATTCGTAAAAAAAAAAACTAAAAAAACTAATTAAGACATGCGTGTCCGTCAACCTTAAACAATAATCTTTGTCAATTTTATTTTTCAGTCTTTATGATGGTCGATACTTGATCTATCTCTTACTGTTACATCCCCGGGCAACACCGGGCTCTACTGCTAGTAATTATTATAATTTAAGTTCGTTGTCAAGTTTTTTGAATTCTCATATACTTGTATTTTGATTGGTCATTCCATCTTATGTAACAGCGTTTCCCCTAGCGAGGGGCGTTTGATTGATTTGAACCTTTTAAAATCCTTTATTGGTGGTGTAATGGTGAGCAAGCTTGTCTCGGTAGAACAATTACGACTGAGTTCGATCCTCACTGGGTGCTCCCTACGTTCAGCCTTGTGCCACATCTAAGCTACGTATTGGAAAATCACTATCAGTTCTTGTTGTTTTTTTACATTTGTTGACGTGGACTCACATCCCGAGTCCGACATGTTTGTTGTGAGCATTTCAGGAGACACACGTTTTTTATCTCTTAACGTATACACCGGCCTGCAACAGATGTATGTGAGCGCGTATGACGTTTGCGTAATTCAAATACATATATTTACTCGAAAATATTTTTTGTTAATCTATCTTTTTGCAAAAGGAATATTATCCGATATGTTTTTCGTACGTTATAGATTATATTTCGTATATGTTACAAAGTTTTGTTTCTTTTTTTTTTTTTTTAAATATTTTCGGAAAATATTTCGAATGCTTAGGATGCACTGAATGAGAAAATAGAACAATAAAATCCAAATGCTGATTTACTGTAGTTGAGTTGTACCGATGTACGCCTTGGGTTTTTACATAAATTCGTTCGTCTTATTTTTTTATAATTGATTTTAATACTTAGCATTTATTTATAAATGTAAAAGACAATAGGAAATCTGTAATAGTTGCCGACACGTTTCGTCTAATGTGGACTTTATCAAGGCAAAAAAAAAAAAAGCTAAAAGAATTTATTAAACAAAATATCTAATAATAACAAAAACAAAATGTCCTTAATCTACGGCCAGGCTTTTTCCCTATTTCGCCTTTCTTAACAGAAATATTTCTCTCCCAAACAAACGTACAGAACAGTATCCAGAGACCAAAAGAAAATCGTTGAATCCGTCAATACAGCAATAAAAAGCAATATCTCTACACGTGACAGTAATTGACGTAATTTTCAGTTAACAGTATAAAAATAGCGTTCTCTAAATTCTTCTAGTTGCTAAGGACATTTTGTTTTTTGTTCTTATTAGTTACTTTGTTTAAATAAATTCATTTCTTTTTTTGCCTTAAGAAAGTCCACATCGGAGATATATATATATATATATATATGTGTGTGTGTGTGTGTGTGTGTGTGTGTGTGTGTGTGTGTGTGTGTGTGTGTGAAAAATTTCTCAGATTTAACCTGTAGAAGAAGACAATATTTATAAATGTAAAAGACAAGAGGAAATCTCTAATAATTACCGACGCGTTTTGTCCGACGTGGACTTTTTCGAGGCAAAGTGAAATGAATTTATTTGGAAATAAAATACAAAGATAAGACTTTAAAAAACAGCGTCAATGTCAGAAAGAAATTGGAAGAATTTTTTAATCCGTCATCGAATATTTATTTATCTACATTGGCTCACGAGAGGAATTTTCACAGAAGATCTTTCTGTAGCTCCAAAACGAGACATATGTTTGTGTCAGAGATTCTTCAGTTCCTTTGCGATTGACCGCTTTGGAGTGCCACAGAAATTAAGATCTGATTCTGAGCATCCCGACTTTTTAATTGCAAAGGAGAAAGTGAAAC